GAATTGTTCACACTCAGTTATCTTTTCATTCAGATCGTTAAATACTCGTTCAAATTTTTCAATGACCAGAACTGAACTCAGCTGACTAACCTCCAAAAGCTTTTCGATAAAATCCCGAACTAATTGTTTTGGGTCAGAATTGCATTAAAAAATTACTCCACTACCAAACGAGTAGGAAATGGAAACGCTTATGGGTACATGTCGCCCAATCCATGTAGTCGAATCTGAGTTTTTCAGCGTGTTATCTGCAACTGTGATAGACTCAAAGTCGAAAACGGCAAAGTTCGTGAACAAACTGACTTCATTATCAACATGAATTCCTATGTCCTCTAGTCGTTCGAAGACAGTTTCCTTCAGTTGGTACACTCCAGTAGGATAGACATGTTTAATATTTTCACGACATTGTCTTTGGTGATTCAGGAGATTCCGTGTCGATGACAAAAAAGTATCGCAAGTATGACATCTGAACTTTTAGTAGGTTTTTCAAATTCTCAGTCCAGCAGATGTGATTGTCATAGCGAATTAAGTTTACGATGCGAGAAAAGCGCAGCGCCGATCTTCTCGTCAATTCGCCCACAATTTCCCCGTTTTCATCGTAATCAATGTTAAAGAGTTGAATATTGATCTCACAAATATCTTCTAGTATGTAAATACCGTCTTCATCAACTCCAGGGAACCCTTCCAATTTAACCCGTGATATTTCAATGAACCGTTGAAAAATCTGATCAGTTTTCAAGGCTAAAGAATCAGATCCATATTATTCAAAGGCAAGCTCACGAAAAAAAACATAAGTTATCATGATAAGGGTTGTAATTTGAGTCGGATAATAAACATTTGATAGTTGGATTTCTCAACATTCTATCAGGGAGATTAATACTTCGGCAACCGAGGGGAACATTTTTCATCAGGTATAACATTTTCATCATCAAGGCTTTCCTTTAGCGCATCAAGATCACTTTGTTGTGATATGAGAACCGGGTTGAGAAAAACAGTATTATTATCGGCTGCATAATAATATTTGAAGGAATCGTTGTTCGTGATACTTTTTAGAACGAAACCAAAAGCTATATTCAGTTTAACGGTGCAACTCATCTCATCAAATATAGCATCTAACTTGTCTCTAATAAATTTCGTGTCAATTCCGTTTATGCGGAAATTGTACACGACCTTTTGCCGCTATTCCATTTTTTCGTCTCGAAGGAAGTGTTTCACAGACTCCATTTCCTGGAGTAGAGACGAATCCGGAAACACTACAATGCGGGACCAGTAGATTTGAGTGAATTTTATCTTGAAGATCATTTCTATAGATTCCGTTTTCAATCAATAAATTTTTATTGATGTTAATTTTTTTTCCTGTTCAAGATCTCTTTACGAAAACTGATTATCGGCTAGTGAAACAAGAGCCAAGATATTTTTTTATTGAGATTGGAGTTTTTATTTTGAAAAATTTTAATTGTTCTTTAGTTGAAAACTTAATCGTTCATTGAACTCCAGCACACTTATTTTTTTTGAAAAAAAAATCCAAAACCTGACTTCAAAAAAAAAGAAAACCCTAGTTGTTTGATAGTTTAAATATAATTTTTTCATTTTCAATTTGAAAGAATCGAGAAGGATTTTTGCTGTTCCTTATTTTTCCTTAATTTTTATCTAATAAACCGTATCATATCGGCTTTTTTGTTGTTGTTGTTGTTGCGAAAACTCGACTAGAAATATTTAAATTGCTTTTTAGGAGACACGAAATGTAGCAAAACAAGTAAATTAATTTTTAAACAAAGACAATCAAAAATCTTAACACTATTATTCACTTTACACAGATGTGAATATATCTGTTCGAGGTCAGTTTTTGTAAAGCTCTAGTTTTCGCTGCTCTTTTTTTCTTGTCATGTGACCGTCTCTGCATCGGGTGCACAATTCCACGACGTTTCCTTTTAAGTAGTTTTTGATCTTCCAGCTCGTTTTCGAATTTAGAGTTCTGAGGAAGTATCGTTGTCGTTGTTCCTTCTTCAGTGGTTGTGGAGCACACCCGTCTGGTTTCCATGTCAATCTGGTTTATATGCACGAATTCTCGTTTTCCGAGAGCTATCTCAGCAGCTGCCAGCATGATTTCAAATGAGTTCCTTTTACGTAGTTTTTGATCTCCCAAGTCGTTTTCGAATTTAGAGTTCTGAGGAAGTATCGTTGTGGTTGTTCCTTCTTCAGTGGTAGTGGAGCACACCCGTCTGGTTTCCATGTCAACCTGGTTTATATGCACGAATTCCTGTTTTCCGAGAGCTATCTCAGCTGCCAGCATGATTTTAAATGAGAAGATCAAAAGAAGTTAAAGTTGAAATTTATTTAGCTAGCTTAGAGGCTGCTTAAGAAACTGGAAGTATGAGAGAGAATGAATTTGATTTTAAGTTTAGAAAAGGAAGGAACAAGAACTTCCTCTATTGGCTAATTTATTTATTTTTCCTTCCTGATTTTTTAATACATCAAAAAGGGAGCAGTGATACTGGATAAATAGTTCGATAAATAATTCAAGTGAAAACAATAATCTGATACAAATGTTTTCCCCTCGGTGATGTCATTAAGCTATCCACCCTAATTACCTATAAACAATTTACTCCCAAGGATGCCGGTTAAATACCCGATAAGTAATTCAAGTGAAAAAAATTAATCTGATAAGAGTTTGTTTCCCTCAGCGATGTCATAGAGTTATCCACTTAATTAACAATCGAACAAAATTTCCCCAATGATTCCGGTCATATACCCCCAAAAATTAACTCAGGTGAAAAAATTAATCTGATAAGATCTTTATTACGACCCCCGAGAAAAAAAGATTAGGCTAATTGAGTAACATAGTCACGCGACTTTGACAGGTTGACCTCTCTCCGAAAATATACTTGACCTCTTGTTGCTCTATACTACTCATTTTCATAATACCTGTTTTTATCAAACAGGAATAACACCAAAAAATCTTCTTCAATTCAATTTGGAATGATTTATGAGCGGACTAAATAGCCTCTGACGCTTTTTCAGCACGAAATACCTCGAGCGTTAATTATCACAAATTGGCTAACTTGTCAAATGATCGCACGAGAAGGTTTTTTTAGATTTGAGCTCGAGACATTAATCCTTTTCATATGGTATTTAAAATTTTGTTCAAAAATGGCCACTTAAAAAGTCAAATTAGAACAACAACAACAACAGCCAGTTGCCGTGCAAGTAGCACAGAATGTTTCAACCACAAAATTTGAAATAATGAAATTCAAAATGAAAATCCATTATTCAAAATCAAATTTTCTGTTGGGGGTGTGCTGTTTCCAGTTAAGGACAAAAGAATTGGATCAGAGACCCAATATATTCGCAAAACTAATTTGAAAGTCGCAGTAGAATTGTCCTTTCATGAGCAAACGTTGTGTCAATTAGTCTGTCAAACGGAAAAATTTAAATCACTTCATGACTCATCGACAACTTTTAAGATTTTTTGTTGGAACCCGATTGACGAACATTACTGACACCATACTTATGATACCCATTATGAGTTTTCCTTGCAGTACCTTAATTGGACGAAAATTTGCACAAAATTTCCCTCCTTTTGACAAATGAGAAAAAATCAAAATTCAAACGCCGAAATATAACATTTGAGCATGATCAGCTTGTCCGATTTTTTCTCAAACAATAAAAGAAAATCCTGAACGACCAAAATAGATGCCTTCATTTCTCTCAGTCAAGCTCATTAAAAACTATCACAGAGACGGAGCTAAGCTTCACACCACTTGCGATTCATCACAAAAATTACATGGCAAGCTAGCAGACCATAAAGAAGACGAATCCCACAAGGCCAAAAAAATAAATCTTTGGAAATTTTTCGAAAAAAATTCTTGTGCATGCCATAAATTGACACACAGACGAACTCATCTGGTGCTAACTTAACCCACAGTACTTGGAAGACGCCCCTTGAGCCAGAAACAAAAATGTTGTCACAAACATTACCGCAAAAAGCCAACAGAACGTTTTTTTTTAAATCTAACCTTCAAAGAAATCGAAAGAAAAAAAATAGATGGCTTAAAAGCTCTTCAATTTTTGACTGACACAATATGAATGACACTTTTTCTATAACATTAACCCAATTTGAATAATTTTTATCAATTGATAGATTTTTTTTTATTTCACTGGAAAATCTGCAAACTAAAATCCACTTTGAAAACTAGAAGTCGATCACGTTTTTCGCTCTTCGATAACCAAAATTGCCTTCCTTTTAAAGAAGGAAATGAGAAAGAACTGCAGGAGAATTCAAAGTCAAACCACGAAAAAGTACATTTAAGCTTGAATTTTTTTAAAAAAAATTAGCCTCGAAAAAGTAAAACTTCGGCTATGGATCGGATTCAATCCTCCGACCCAGATATTATGAACCTCACATTCTAACCACTTAGCCACGGACATTTAATTTTTTATAAAAACTAGCCAAAAATAAAGCAGAAAGCAGATGCGTTGAAATTTTCAATACTACAGAGCCACCAAATGAGTACTTTTATCTGGGAGTTAGGTTGGAAAGACAACAAGGTTCGTACTTATACACTACGCTCGCCAGCTAGATAGTGGAAGTTTCCTGGAAAAAAAAACGAAAAAAAAAAATTACGACCTATCAAAATTTTGTCGTGATAAATTTTGCCGATGTATTATATAGCCTTGGTACGGCCCTATCCAACCTGTGCACGTACCGTCGCATGACGGAAGGGCCCATTTTAATTGATCAAAAAAAAAATTATCACTACCTATATAAGAGTCTTCACTACGTTCATTACTTCAACTATTTTCGGCAATGTTTGGTACAACAATTTACTTTTTGGCTCAGTGGGCATCTATCAAAGTATGATAGGTTTGGTTACCGCTAGATAAGTATTGTATGAATGTTGATTTAACGCTGACAAATGAGTTTAGAGCCATGTTCTTCTCATACTGAACTGCATCGAGAAAAACTTTTCAGCTTACTTTTATGTGACCAAATATTAGCTTACTTTTAGGTGACCAAGATGATGAATCATGAGAGGGAGAATGCTCCTCTCCGAGCCCGCTCATCAACCACAGATCTGAATTCAAGTGGTTATCCATTTTTGAATCAATCTCTTGATTATCTTGATCCATGATGCACTGCGCAGTTGTAGAAATGTCATTCAAAACATCAAAAAATTCCGGGTCATTCATATTGCTTGACAAAGAAGAGTCACTGCAGTCTCCTATATCGAAGAATTCACTCATATCAGTTACATCCATTATTACTCTGGGTTTTATTAGTTTGCTGCTTATACTATCCAATCATTCAACCCTGGAAAAACATAAAAAGTGAACACTTTATCACCTATTATGATTTTTAATTTATGCTTTTTTTTTTACAAAGGTAATCAGAAGGTCAGAAGTATCATAGTAACCGAGGTTACAGTCATGAGTCCCTTCATCATGTATTCCAGTCAAAATCCTTGGAATTTTCTAGATATGGAAGTGATAATGATAAAAGAAGATGTCAAGTGTTTAAGTCCTTTTCATTTAAAATCGATACGGGTTACGCTTCTTCAATAAGAACACGCAACTCGACACGAGATAATATAATATACAAGTGTTACAAGTAAAAAATTTCGTCGAAAGTTATTTTGTCATTTATTGTTCCGAGTACGCAAGCGGCGTTCGCAATCTGTATTGCCAGGGAGATTCTCTGTTTTAAAAAGCTGCCTGCTCTGGGTTCCTCAGTGCATATGCTTAGGTTCTTACAAAGCTTGCTCAAAAAAACTTCTGTGCTGGGGCCGGCAGCGCCCTGAATTTCAAAAGCTAGCGGTTGAAAAAGATATCCATCATTTACAAGATCTTTATATTTGTCAATTTTTCGCTCTTCCGCTTCAGCGGCAGCCGTACCAGGGTTACAAACAGACCCGGCATTAATCCTACAAGGGGCTAAGGAGTCTACTACCGTTACATCCCACAAGAGCTGCTTACCATCAGCCCATGGAACGAGCGTCAAACCGTCTGGTCGCTTCTGATCGGTCCTGTAGAAGTGTCGTGGTTCTAAAACAGACGGAATGTGAGTAGATGATAGACTCTGCTTTATAAGGGCATTCAGGTTTGAATGCCTAGAGAATCTCCCTGCACTTTTGAGGCAAGAAAGACCATGCCAACCATCCTCGGTAACGTCTTTTCCGCACACGCATTTATGCCGTTCGCATATTTTTGATCCTAATCGAAGTCCTATCGCAATTCTGAGTTGTTGGTTCGACAGTTTTAACCTTAAATTTTTGCAGGGGATGACGTTCAACCATTGGGATCCAAATCTATCTTGGAACGCGTTGAACCTTTTCACGTCCGTTGGTTCGAGTCGTAAAATCAAGTCTGCAATTTCGCTGTCAAAAATTGGCTCCGTCCAATTTTTTTGGATTTCATTTTCCGGAGCCATTTCAATTTTTCCAAGGTCAAACCACCGTTTAAGCGCATCATCATAGGTTCCATCCACATGCTCCAAACCAAAGATTTCGCTCAAGGCATCTTTCGCTCCTACTGCTGAGGCTAAGAAAGCGGGTAAAGCGAGTAGACGAGCGGAAGAAACGCCCAAGCCACCTTTGGCTGCCGGGAGAACTGCTTGTAAAAACTGGTTATCATCCATTTTCACGTTAGTGACCTTGCATAACGAATTTCTTAGTAATTTATCGTAGCGTTCCAAAAAATCATTTTGCAAAAAACAAGGGCTCGTACGCAAAAAATATAGGAGTTTTGGCATGCTAAAGCAATTTTTCAGGAGGTAAAAACCATAATGGGCGTCTAGTTTGTCAATGACATCCGAGATTTTTTCAAGCTCCCTAATTTTTTCGTCGAGTAATTCTTTTCGGCAAAGTTCGCCGATTGGAGATCCTAAAATGAGGAGTTCTTCTTTTGTTTTTATTTTTATTTTGGGGCATATTTTTCGAAATTGTGTTAAAATTGAATTATACTGTGTACTAGTAGTCGGTCCCAAAAAACAAAGTTCACACTTCTCAGTGTTTAAGCTCAGGCCGTAAATTTGTTCCGATTTCAGAATGTTTTTAAGGTCCCGGAGTACTACCTTATAGTCGTCGGCTAAATTCCCATCATCTAAATACCAGATGTTAATTTTCGACTCCAACTGTTTGACTAGTGTATGAATTGTTTCCGCATAAAGGGGTGGGGCTTCAGGATCACCTTGCTGAGTTCCGTCTTCTGACATTATGACAGAGCTTCCGTAAAAAAGGTAACTAGGTTTAGCATACGCGCAATGGGTGTAATTATATAATTCGGGGCGATTTGAAATCGGTTACGAAAAAACTATCCAACTTTTCTGGATTTGGAGCTGCAAATTTGGCTCGCTGCGGGTGCTTAGATAACAATTTTTGATAGTTATCAGTTGAAAAAGGAGCTATTTTGTCATGCGAAGCAGCAAGCCTTATTCCTCCCTTTACATTTCCTTCATCGAGCTTACTACTTATTAACTTTATTCTCTGCTCGATGTCACTCAGAGGCGGGCTTGAAACTTGGGGATGGGGTTTTGGAAGTGACACGTCATTTGCTCGAATTTTTTTATTTATCAAAGAGCTCATGCTTGTGGTCTGTTTGCGTCCACTTCTTTTCGGTTGCTCCAAAAAAAACAAGAACGACGTTAAAAAAATTAGCCATTTTGTAACATCTTCTACATTGTAGACGATGTCATTTATTTTGTCCGACAGATTTTCCGCCAAGGGAACACGCGAGTCTTTTGGTACTCTCTTGAGTACTCGGACATTTGAGATGGTTGTATTAACATAATTGTCTAGCACTAAATCATTACCTATTGTTGCTTTATTAACAGATTTTACATCAACGCATAAAGGACACTGAAACCATTGGGTTTTCTTAGAGTCGCTAAGAGAAATATTTACACAACTGATATGATACCAACTAGAACAACAATCACATTTAATCCAATTTATCAGTCCTGAAGGTTTTAAGCAATCTTTGCTTGTACACTCTTTGTTGTTTTTCCTCATCTTGACGCAGCATAAAGGTAAAAAAAAGGATTTTGACTGGACTTTAGGGGATTGAACTAACCCATGATAAGCGGTTAGTGGGAATTTTACAAATCAGCAAATAAAAAAAAAAGACAACTAAATTAATTTAAAAGGTTAAAAGGCAGCATAAAGGTTAAAAATCAAAAACAAGGAACAATCTCACCCGAGCTCAGTAGGTTCAGCGGCGCACCACCAGACTTCTCAAGCCAGTTCCAGTTCCCCACCTCCCCACAGAAAGCCGCTTGACAGACCTGTCTCTAAAATCCCTCAGAGGGCGCTCCACATACAGGCACAAACATCAAACAGTTTTTATACACTATTTAATAAGTTTATCACAACAATTGGTAAGCGATTTCAGAAAATTAAGTCCTGCACTGCCATTCGACTTACTAACAAGATCTTTAAAAATTTGAGGAATTTTTAAAGATCTTGTCTGCAATTTCTAGAGGCTGTTTTCTGAAATCGGTCTTGGAATTTTCAGAAAACAGACAAGATCTTGCAGGGTCTTTACTAATCTGGTACACAAGAAATGATGAGATTAAGGGGTGAATTTTTCACCTCTTTCAGAAAAAGTCTTGATTTGATAATGAGGATGTCCAATGTTCTCAATATTTTGAGTATGTTGGTATTGAGAACATTGGACATCCTCAACACCAGAAATGAGGATGTCCAATGTTCTCAATACCAACATACTCAAAATATTGAGAACATTGGACATCCTCATTATCAAATCAAGACTTTTTCTGAAAGAGGTGAAAAATTCACCTGAGCGTGAAGACTGTTCCTGAAAAATCACAACACCTAATAATTGTTTTCACTTGCTAAACACGTGCAAATTTTTTAACTTTCTTCGTTGATTAGCATTTAAAGACATTTTGAATGAAAGCACTTCAAAATTATCACGAAGTACCCTATCAAGAACAAAAAACAGATTTTAGCTTTTGAAATAAAAACATGTTTTATCCAAACAAGTTAGCTGTTGAAAACTTCTGTTTGACAGCAGGAAAAGAAACCATTATTAAAGCAAGTAAAACAAGCCTTATCAGATTTAAAACTTTTCTCAAAAAATACCATGAAAAGTAACAGTTGATAAAAGATTGATCCCAGAATCCTAAATTACCAGTATGCAATTAATTAAATATTATGTTAATATTTGTGAAACACCAAAAATGAAACATTTGTTTAACCAAATTATAGAAATCTATCAGCCAGAAATGAGTAAAATGAGTATGTTGATGTTGCACTGAATTAGTACTGCAGACCTCACCAAGTCTACGATTACATTTGTCAACCAGAAGTCATCTGGTGTTGCAGGTCCTGCACACCCAAGGTAAAACTTCTAATTGAAGCTGACACTAATCCAGAACCGGATACACTACGGAGCGAACTGGACAAAACAATGGCGAACCTAAACCACATGATGAACGACTTCCACAAGTTTGTAGCAGGACCAAGAGCCGTGAATCAAATTGAATAGAAACCATGGGACGTGGCCCAGCAACCGAAAAACAAGCCACTAAAAGAAATTAAAATGGAAGCATCTGATGAGCAAAAAAGAGAAGAAGAAGACGACAAAAGAAGAAGAAAGAAATTGATAATTTACAAAGCACCTGAGAGTACCCACCAAGATGGACATAACAGAAAGGTAGAAGACAAACAACTGATAGAAACATTTCTAGCATCGGTCGAAATGGGAAACAAAACAGCCACAAGTTTTGTCCGACTTGGGAAGAAGAGCGATGAAGCCACGACAAACAGACCACTGCTAGTATCTTTTGATAAAGAAAAAGATGTAAGCGAGATAATGAAAAATTTGAATAAATTAATGGGGGCCGAATATAAAATCGAAAACATGCGGATTTGTCCAGACAGGAGTCTCAAGGAACGAGAAGAAATCAGAAGATTGATAGCAAAGGCAAAAAACTTCAACGAAAAGGAACAAGGAGACTACGTGCACCTTTTGAGGGGGTTGCAAATAATGAGAATGATGAAAATACCTCAAACTGGTCTTTACTAATCTGGTACACAAACATAGACATATTAACTCAAGACAAACTGCACGAAATGGGTACAGGACTTTATCCTCCACGGTAATTATCCTCCAGGCGATATCCTCCATGGCGGATAAAGTCCTTCGAGGGACTTTATCCGCCAAATGTTGGAGGATAAAGACGCTGAATCTAAAAATCATAGTTTCAGACCACTGAGGGTAACTTTTTAACTAATATTTTTTTAAAAATAGGTTGTAAAGGCTTTTGTGAGGTGAGTGATCAGAATCTGGTACTAAAATGTCTAAAATAATGAGATTAAGGGATAGAATATATTATCAAATTGGAATGTATTAGAAGAAAGTATCGTTAAAACAGAAGAATGAGGGCAATAATCAACAGCAAAATTACAAATTACTCGGACATCCAACAAGCCGTGAGCACCTACCATGCATGGTTCCGGCACTGATGTTGCCTTCAATGAAAGCATTCCAAACCTCGAAAAGAAGCTTTTGCTTCTCCACATAGCCTTTTCGGCTCTCCTGTACAGACAGGATCCGCAAATTAATTTCAACCAACTGTGCCTCATTGAAAAGTACCTGCACGAGAAAATAAAAATTTACATTCGGGTTCATGGCGCGCTTGTTGATGCGGTGGTGCCATGATTCAAGATCATTGTTTGTGCGAGTACCTTTCATGAACTGGCACCAGGTCTCAGGTGGAAACATTTTCGAGTCAATCCACTGCCTTCGGACGTACTCCATAAACGTTACGAGACGATTGTCGTTGAAGGTCTTTGCCTCTTGATTCAGGAGTTTAAATGCCCGACGTATCAATTCACTGGGAAGCAACGGTAGAGACAATACCTTCCGGAGGAATGTGCGGATCGTTTCAACAGAAGAGTACGCATCTTTAAGTCCATTCTCAGTGATGTGCTTAAAAACCGCTTGTGTCCAATGGAAATAACAGCCTCTAATCGACGTTTGAGGAAAGACTGATTGTATTGCTTTCCAAAGCGCCACTTCAAAATCGCAAACGACCTCTTCCACTTTGCATCGTCCAGCGACATCTAATTGTTCTTGCAGTTTACTTTTATAATCATTCATGCTTCTTCCTGACATTATTGCAAACGATATAGGTACATGCTGCCTCTCTTGCGATGCACTATTAGTGACGAACGTGTGAATTGAGAATAGTTGCTTGAATGGCTCCTTAACGACTTTAAACGTTGCATCTATGAACATCGTTTTCGCATTTTTCAAGTGACTTTTTTGATTTTCTGTTGCAAATAGGAGATGTCGGCGATCGCCTGAACGAATATCACCACGCAAAAAATTACTCGGGACGTGGTCAAGTTCTAATTTAAACGTCAGATCAAAAGGATGTTTCGGGCGGTTTTCTTGGCGAACTCGACTAACACATCGCCTGATAGAGTCTTTCTTAGCAAGTGCTCCAGATGGTGGATAATGGAGGATAATGGTGGAGGATATCGCCTGGAGGATAATGACCGTGGAGGATAAAGTCCGTTTCCCCACGAAATCACGTGGAGAATGAATCAAGAAAAATGCAAGCCTGATGTCATCGCTCTAGTGGAAGGCAAACCGAAAAATTCTTGCGCAGAATGGAATCCAGTATGGCATAAAATCTAATACTATAACATAGAATCAATAAATATGAACCCATTTGATCAAGGACGCGGAACTTTAGTTTAATTAAATGAAACCATTGACTTTTTCTTGAACACAAATAATTTTTTTTCTGTGAAAACTTGTTTTTAAGAACTAAAATTAGCAGTAACATCATCAACCTTGGTGTATTGTATAGAAGCCCAAACTCAACTAAGAAAAAAACCACCAACTAAGAAACTTGATCGCCAATTTGAACGAAACACAGTCAAATGACTCAACACTAATAGTGGGAGACACAAATCTACCACAGATAGATTGGGAGGCCATGAGTACATTAAAAGATGAAATTAGCACTGAGTTTAACTTTTTAGAGGCAGTAAAAGACGCACTACCAACACAACATATTAAAGAGCCTACAAGGCTTACTGGCAGAGACAAGGCATCACTGCTTGATGTTGTGATGTCAGATATAGTCTTAAAAGATCTAGACACCACATTAGAGGTACCAGCGGGAAAAAGTGACCATGTTCTTGTCAAGAAAGATGTGCCATTAAAGAGGGTTAAGTCGAATTGTAAAAACCTCAGAAACTATGAAAAGGGAGACTACTACGGGATGAGAAACCATCTAGTTGACCCAACGGTTCAGTTAAATACATGGGAAAAACTGAAAAACTGCATGATAGAATTAGTCGAAAAATTCGTGCCTTTAATTAAGATACGCAGCAGTGGCAACCACATGCCGCTTGCAAAGGCGGTGCGCATGAAGATAAAAAAAAAAGAAAGCCTGGAAAACATTCAAAAATTATCAAACAGCCAAAAATTTAAACAAATATAAAACCAAACGAAATGAAGTTAGATCTACCACGCGATTGGAGGCACTCACACGTGAAAAAGAAATATCATCAGACATTAAAACTAATCCGAAATATATCTGGAGTTACGTGCGCCAAAAAAACTACTATAAGAGAATCAATCCCCGCTTCAATAAAGTCAAGTGGTATGCTAACTGACAGAGACGACGAAAAGGCAGACGTGCTCTCAAACTTGTTTGCATCATTTTTCACTGACGAACCCCTTGGTAGCTGGGAGATAAGCCCTCCACCAACCACCAGCATTGATGACAACCTGGAGGTAACAATGAATGACATCCGAAAAGAACTCATTCGGTTAGACACTCCAAAGTCGCCTGAATCAGATGAAATTCATCCTAGGGTCCTATTTGAATTACGAGAATTCATCTTAAAACCACTTTGATTACTTTCCAAACCTCTTGAGAGACAAGAAAATTACCCGAAAACTAAAAGTTGGCTAACATTTCTGCAAAATTCAAAAAAGGTTAAAAAAAATTGATGGCAGATAACTATAGACCAATCAGTTTAACATCAATTTGTTGCAAGTTATTCGAAAAGTTTGTTCGAAAGCATTTAATGGATCTTTTCAATGAAAAAGGGCTAATAACAAATGCACATTACGGTTTTCGATCTGGATGTTCACTGAACTTACAACTCCTAAAAGTAATTGATGACTTCACCAGGGCAATGGACAAACATGAAAATGTCGACGTGATATACTTGGACTTCAAGAAAGCCTTCGATTCGGTACCGCACAAAAGACTGATCGGAGTTCTTAGACAGTATGGAGTAACTAGATGAACCTTGAGCTGGATAACAGACTTTCTTTCGGGACGACAACAGAGAGTGGTAATTAACGATTCAAGATCCTCAT